GCAAAATCACATTTTTGCTGTTTTCCCGCGCTTTTTCAAATTCAAATTTTGCGCTAAATTTAAATTTAAATTTATTTTTAACGCGATTTTAAATAAATTTAACTATCATTTATTTATATCATTTATTTGTTAATAGAAAATATGGGATAGGGGTACTGGTAGGACTAATAAACAATGCATGTGTATCATTTAACTGTTTTCTAATTGAAAAATCGTAAGAAAATGTACAATTTACAATGGTATTTGTATAAATTTAATAACAATTGCCTTAAATACTACTTATACATAATACTACTTAATATAAAGGCCACGTTTTCGCGTGGCCGCCACACGATTAGGTTGCTTCTATTTTTGTTTAAAAGAAACATAAATGATTATTAATCTATACGAGTGATACTCTTGTTTAGAATAAAATGTGCGGGAAGGTTCAAGGAATACCAGTACACAAATATGTCGACTGCCTGCCACTTGCCCGTGCGGGCTCGGTTGCCCATCACTGCCCAAGATGAAAGGACGTAGGCAGTAGTTAGTTTCCGTAGAAACCTGTAAAAACAGACAACCACAGTTTGTACAAGATTGTACAATATTTACGCAAAAGAAAATATTAAAGAGGAAAATTGTACTGTTCAAAGAGGCAAATATGGTGATATAAACCTTTTTCTAATTGTTGTTATCTTGAAGGTCTTCTGAAGGTCATCGATGGTTTTCTAAATGGCACCATATATTTTAACTTCATAGTGTAGTAGCTGATGTCAAGCTGAGTTCAATTATGTGATGCATTATAACCTTCAAATGACCTTATACCATAGACGAAGAGAATCTTAGAAAGCTTTACAAGATTCCTGCGGTTTTGCTACCCTGACTTGGAGTTATGAAAACTGGAGGAAGGAAGTAAATATAGTCTCCTATTGCGTAGATCTTTCTTTCAGTCGTAAGATGCAAAGAAAATAAATGCATATAATTATTTCTATTTGTTCTACTATACCAATGTATTCAGTGTCGATCATTTCATTGTCCAATCTCCATAAGTTCCTGTCTTTTACTTTCTTCCTCGTTCAATACTGTACCCATTTGACGATTATGATCGCGGTCTGGTTGAAAGGAGAGTGACGAAATACGAGCACGGTGAACGTATTACACACTGTAAACCAGATTCTTCGGACGAAGCGATCTCGAAAGAACTTCGACGGCCTTCGATGAAGAATAGAACCTGGACCGACGAAATTACGATATTCACGGTCAACTACTTCGTTCCGGGAGTCGCGGGGCATGACTCTGAAAAAATCATTACGACACGTTATTGTCATCGAAAGACCGAGTTCTGTATGGTCCGAGTGAATGGGAATAATATTTCTGATGAACGAATGTATTTTAACGTGACTCTGAATAGAATGAAAAATCAAACTGGAGTAACTATAGTTCACATTTAACATTACTATACCTTAAATAACTACACTTCACCTTCAACTTTGACTCGACGATAAACGGAGTCGTTTAAAAGGGAGAATATTATCATATATACGTCTCAGTGAAATTATATTATGGGTCATAATCGACCCAGTCGTCTGCTGTAATTGCCTCTAAACATGTCCAGAGTGCACTAAACGAACAGAATTTTATTGTAAGCCGATAAAATCACTGTTTCACCCAATCGACAAAGGGTATTAGCTTTCTAATACACCTCGTACGCAGTTACTAAATCATTTAACGAACTATTTTGTTGCGGATTGACCATTGTCGACGTCAATTGTGACACGTTATGGGCCCAGATATCCTGGCTGTTGCTCCATTCTACATGCAACACAGCCGCAAAACCATTGCTGGCAGTTCTTGCTTCATTTCCATAATCTCGTTGCACTGCGTCTTATCTTTTTGCGTGCAACAATGTTATCTAAACCCCAATTCTGAAATTTACAACTGATCAACTTCAAACAAAATTCACAATAATTCGAAAGTATAAATAAATTCTATTCATGTATAATATAATTAATAATAATTATGTTAATAATTCGAATGAATGATAATGATCAGTAATAATAATATTTAATTTGAATAATATCATCCACCGATCTATAGAAGTACTGCTTTTTTATCTTTTCATCTTTTTGTTTGCACGTTAAAATAATAGTTTAAAAGTCATTGATGAAAATAATTTCGTACTAGCATGGCCTGCGCAAACGAGGGACTGGACGTTAGGCAGTATAATATATTGCGGGCCGCGGAAAAATATTATGGGAATGCATTCGCAGTAGAGACTGTCCTTCGGCCTCGAGTTCTTCGCTCGTTCAGGGTTGCTAAGTCGTTCGACACTTCCATACGCCTTTGTTTAAACGACGAGAAACTCTGTACAGAAGGAAGAACTACATTAATAATTTATGACTGCCAAAAGATCGAAATTATTAAAAAAAAAATTGATTACTGTAAAAAAACAGTGTATGCAAATAAATTTCTTGTCAAAAATGTAAGATAGAATAAAATAGATTGTTCTATAAAAAATCCTCAAGGTACTCTTAGACGTTACAATAGGTATTATATTTTATTGAGTTCAATATTTATTTTGCATGAAATCGAATAATGATATGTATGAATAATATATGTATAATAAATTTGATTTGTTATCAATTTATTAAAAAAATATAGATTATTCATTCTACATCTACCCACCTTTCACAATAAACCTTATAAATAACTTAAATCTTAACTATGTAATACTATCGGTACTAAAATCCCTCGGCCTGCTTTATATAAAGTGAGAAGACCTTTTTTAATACGTTTACAACGATGGACAGAGGAGAATCCGTTTGCCACATGCGGCAGTGATCTCTTCGATTTATTATTATTAATTATCATTCACTTTTGAGAAAACAAGATCAACAATAACAATTCATTCATCTTGAGCTTGAATGAATTTAACGTAGTTCACAAATTCACCGTTCTCATAACGTGGAAGGTAGCAGAAAATCCCTGACTTTTTACACTATCGGTATTTCAGAAAATGAGACACGAAATCCCATAAGATGATAGGTCTATCCTATACCTAGTCGGTGGTAATACAAGGACCAAATCCAATATACTGTCCAAAGCTGACGAGATGATGAACAGAAGGAATGCCAATACGATTGGCTGAGGCGCTAGCGAAAAGAAAATTTTCCATAGTTATAGCTATCACTATATCTCAACGACTGTTATTTTATTAAATCAGATTATAGAATGACTTCCCTATTTCATGGGGAATACACGAATTCCCTAAACTTTATCCAGTCTTACCCAAGAACCTATCAAAGATCCTCCTTATTACATCAGTCTAATGGAAATTTATCTTTCATACACTTTGAGTTGAATCACTCACACACAAGTCTCTCGATGACTCTCTCCGCTAGAACAGTTCTCGAGTTTCGCAAGACTCACCCTAATCAAACCGAATTTTCCTGCAATTCCTGGAAAATCATGTTTCGATTCCGAGCGTTCCGGCGATCCGAAACGAGAGGAACACGGACCGCGTTCACGGCGATTTACAATCATAAACTTGAGTTTGCTTTGTACTTATCACTCGAGCATGGTTTTATTATGATTTTTGAGCGCCAGGTGGCCGCGTTTTTGTTGTCCATTTGTCGAACAGTACAGGTCCTCAGCGCCATTACATCGATAAATGTCATTGTATCCGCGCGTCCCGTCGAACGTATATTTGAATACGTAAAATAAGTTTCAAATAAACCGAAGATTAGCTGATATGTCGAAACGGAAAAACTCGACGTCGAAGAAAGGCCGTGCCAAAACGCGAAAGGCTGAGTACGACGACGAGAACATTTCCAGCGAGCATGAATCGGATGTTGATGACGCCGCCGAGACCGGTTCGAATGCTGACTGTGAGGACGCTGCCGAGGATGATCTTACCGATGTCTCCAGCTTCCCTGAACTGCCGCCACCGGAGGTGATATTACCTTTATCTTTCTCGCTATGCTTGTTTATCCCGGGCAGGGAGTATATATTCGGACCCGCGGGACTGAGAAACCGATCTTCGTATTCTCGCAAATGTTTTGGCCTGCCCCCGTTTGTAAAAAAATCTTCTCCCCAAAGTCGAGGATCGTGTGCCTGTATTTACATTATTAAGGAACTTTAAAATTACAAACAATACCAAAAACACATCCATGAACCTTTCATACTTATGTTTCCTTAATCAGAACAACACCACATCTGAACATGGATTCTTATTTATTTAAGTTTAACTGTTAAATTCACCTTCTGATGTTTCTCAAGTTTAAATTGAAGTTCATGGATCATTAGATTAGTTGACACGACTCGTTGACCTTACATGACTTTGCCGGGTAATGTTTTGATGTTTAATAATTGTGGTACGTACCTCTGTTACAGGGAGGATGGGGAAAACCAGGAACATTGCTCATGTGTGGCCTCACGAATTGGGAGATGGCAGGTCGTAAGGCACCACCGAAAGGAGTTAAGGCTAATGTAGGACGCAGTTTGTGGACACCACATACGTTTAAGAACTTGAACGACGCAAGGGTTAGACTGGTTGCATCTGGTCCAGCTGCTTCGCATAGTATTATTGTTACCGAGGATAACAGATGCTTAGCTTTTGGTAGAAATGACAAAGGTAATCAGATTTCTTGACAAGAGTGTATAACAAATGGTTCAGCCTGCTTTAGATGTACGGGGATACGTGTATCCTTACAGGTCAGTTGGGTATCGGAGATGCGAAACGTCGAGACGAACCTACTGAAGTGACGGCGCTAAAGGGGCACACAGTGATAGCAGCATTTTGCGGTCGTAATCACACATTATTTTTAACAAGTCGCGGCATAGTATTCGGCGCTGGCGACAATAAGTTAGGCCAATGCGGAGTCGGAAAGAACGATGCCTGTATTGTCACGGCGACCAAAGTAAAATACACCGGTCCACCCATAGTGAAAATAGGTTGTGGCGCAGATTTCTCAATGATCCTGGACATTAAAGGTGGCCTGCACTCGTTCGGAAGTCCAGAGTACGGAGCATTGGGCCACAACACCGATGGGAAATATTTCATAACGAACACAAAGATGGCATTCCATTTTGAAAAAGTGCCTAAACGAATCGTTTTGTACGTCGAGAGAGCAAAAGACGGCCACGTAATGCCTCTGGATCGCGTTGAAATTACCGACTTCAGCTGCGGTCATTATCATACCGTTGCGATCGATAGTAAAAATCGTGCATTCTCCTGGGGTTTCGGTGGTATCGGCCGTTTAGGCCACAACGAGCAACGGGACGAGCTAGTGCCTCGTTTAATCAAGTTCTTAGAGCCACCGAGTCGAGGCGTCAGGGCTGTACATTGCGGCAGCACTTACAGCATCGCGATCAATGTGCACGGAACAGCCTTGATGTTCGGCCAAACGAAACGTACCGGAGAAGCAAATATGTACCCGAAACCAATTCAGGATTTATCTGGTTGGGAGATACGATGCGTCGGATGTTCGCAAACCAGCGTTGTGGTTGCAGCCGACGAATCGGTTATCGCTTGGGGTGCTAGTCCTACATTTGGTGAACTGGTAAATAATTTTATTTAGAAAAACTTTTTAAAACAAAGTTCATGGTTTTCTTTATTAACACTTGAACTACCGACGATAAACGCATATCTTTTTCGATCGATCGATAAATATGGCAAATTTTGGAAAATTTAGAAATTTAAAAATTGACTAATTTCTTTACTTTCATATCGTAATAAAAGGTGCAAAAGATCTAGGAAAATTTATTGCCATAACGTTTTAATCGTCGTTGTAAGAGTGTATTGCCAAGTCATTTTGACTTGTTTGGTAGTTCTAGTGTTAAAGAGTGTTAATTTCTTATCCCTGGATTGATTGTTTCAGGGATTCGGTGAAATGCGCAAATCCTCGACCACTCCAATGGAAGTGAAAGCGTTAGAAGGTTTATATGTTACCGCCATTACCTGCGGTATTTCTCATACGCTTATGATTTGCCGGGATGAATCCGAGGAGGAGAAAGCTAAGATCAACAAACTTCAAGTATATTCTGTTTAAGTAATACGATTCACAATCATGTAATGGGAAAAGCCGCAACATTACTCTGTGTTCATCATTGTCACGAGGACGGATTTACAAAACCAGGAAATTGTATCACCACATCCGATATCCCAATAAGCTATCGAACGAACGTCAAATCATAGATAGGAAAGATCTGTGAGCGGTTATTGATAGAGACTGCAGAAAACGTCCATATTAAATACAGACTTAACGATTACTTTATTATGTACTTCCACCTTTACTTAATATACAATGGAATGTTTACCATAATAGGGAACCCCATTTTGTTAGTAGCTCAGGATATAGACCAAACGAATAGATGCAAAAAAAAAAAAAAAAAGATATATTTTGATACGTTGCTATTTTATTGAAATACTCTGTATCTTGGATCAGAATCGAAATAGTTAACAAACGTGTGAAGAGGAGTGCTGGAAAGGAACCGTTTTATGGAATTTGGTCCGTTTTTCCGTTTTTAATCTGACCCTATTGCAAATAGCGTATTATATCATTGATTCATTACAGTAGTACCTGAATCATTAAATCTGCAAAACTCGTTTTTTTCTATTTTGTATATACAGGGACATTTTAAAAATGCTTCTAGCAACCCGGAATCCGATGGTTTAAATGGTTAATGTTTTTTCTTTATACAAGACTTCTCCATTTAAAGTCATAAGGGATCCTTCAGCTTCATTGTGTACTATCACAAAGAACAATGCTTCCTCGAACACCATCATTGTTTGTCATACTTTTTAAACTAAGATTTACTTTACAGTTACACACACATACACAGCGAACAAAGAAAGTCTTATCAAAGAGTATACATTGTTATATGTAATGAATGGTGGTACGCATACCATTACATTGTCGAACCTTATGTATACGCGTTTGTATTTTAAACTATCCATGTCTTCGTAGTGAATATAATCGAAATTTTATACCTAATTTTTTTTTTTTTTTTTTTTTTTTATTAGTATTAACGATACTGTATGGAAACAGTTAACCGAAATTCGAATATTTTGTATTTTTCTTTTACGGGTCGCAATTAAAGTATCACTGCCATGGTATATCTGGAGTGTGTTTTTGTGATGTTAAGTATTCATTCCGTTTCGTTTTGTGCAAATCCGACGGTGGTCGCAACACAACCACAGATCGTTTTAATAGCCCAGAGAATAACTGTACGAGGCAAATGACGAAATAAACGAATTTTTTTAAACAATTTCTACTGACAATGAAATCTTTATTTATTTGCTGGTCCTTCCTAAAATCAGTGAAACGTTATCATTTTCGTTCGATACGTCGACCTTACACGAACTACACATCTGTGGAAGATTGCAAGCTTCGAATTTTTTTAATGATCCTTCATCGATTTTACAAGAACTACAGAACTGTGGATGATCGCAGTCCTCGAATTTTTCCAATGGTTTTTCACCGATTTTACGGAAACTACAGAATTGCGGAAGGTTGCAGGGTAGGAATGTTTTTGATAATCTTCCATCGATTTTACAAGAACTACAAAACTGTGGAAGATCACAGGCTTCGAATTTTTTTAACGATCCTTCATCGATTTTACAAGAACTACAAAACTGCGGAAGATCACAGGCTTCGAATTTTTTCAACGATCTCTCATCGATTCTACAAGAACTACAGAATTGCGGAAATTCACAGACATGTTCCGCTGGCACAGAAATTTTGCAAGCGCTACAAGTTTCTGGAAATTCACAAATACTGTATTTCTTCACAGGTCTTTTTATGCACTTCCAACATCTTTCTTTGATACGACGTAAGTTCTGATGCTCTCGACAACCAGTGCAAGGTATATTTTTCATAGCTTCCTCGTTCTGATGTTCAATTAACTTCTCTTTCTCCAGAAACTTTCTTTGCTATTTAAATAATGACACGTTATATTCATTAGCTATCGAAAGATTAGTCAACATTAAGGAGGATTGTAAATGGTGCTAACAATCAGTTTCTGATCCATTGCCACTGTAGCCAGTGCAATAACTTCTTTAATACTCTCCTTTTTAGGTTGATTAACACTGTTGTGCTTCCAATGTAGCAGCTGATATATCATGTAATGCAAAGGGTCCGATGGTTTGTATTTTAAAGTCCTAGCCAACACCCATGCTAATGGCACCATGACATTTTGTCTATAAATATGAATAACTCGAAAGATTGAATTACAACATATAGAATGTTTGATAATGCCTTACCTTAAATAATCATTTCTCTGCGCGGTCAGTTCGCCAATTGTATTTTTTCCTGCTGCAAGATGGCATTGGCAAGCATGTTGGGAATAATTTGGTGTAACACTGAGAGTAGAATTGCTCTTTGGCTCACTTATTTTAGTCATACTTTGCGCTATTTCTGAGTTACAAGTAATTGGTTCCAACACATTTAAGCTGCATTCACATATTATTTCCTGTGTATCATGCTTAGAGTTATACGTAAGTAGATAAAGAAAATAGAATAAAAGTGTAGCTGTTAGGCCCCCACATGCGAGTATATTTCTTCAATTTGATCGAGTCCTATGTCAATCAACATTTGTTCAGTCTCCTCGTCAATTCCATACTTCTCCACTAATTGTATTACATCCTCTTCTATTCCAATATGCTCCAAAAACTTAAGTATCTTATGCGATGCATGATTAGTAGGCGATTGCCAATTTACAATTCCAGGGATATCAATACCACTCAATAATAAGTAACAAAGTATACATGAACTTTGAAGTCCCACCCCATATACAATGATACGCCAACTATCCGGTTCACTTAACCCGATAGCTCTTAAATTCGATATTAATACATTGTTAAATTTGCTTGTCCACATATCTTTCAGTTCCAATATGTACGGATCAACATTGAAACACTTGAAATAAGAAAGCTCACATGGATTAAGACTAATAAGGCCAAGCTTCATTGCTTTTATAATGGTGTGTATGGACATGCCTGGAAAATTATATCTAATTAATTCGGAATTTATTAAGCATGTAACTAGAATACTACTATTTACTTTTCTCTTGCAGTGTTCTTAAAACACTTATGCTATATAATCCGCTGTGGATGGTAATCCATAATCGTTTCTCGTTTATAGTCTTGGTGTTGAGATGCTGTGATTTCAACTGACTGTGAACGCATTGCTTGAGTTTATGTGTAAGCAGATTCAATAATTTCGTTTTGCTCCATGTACCATATATTTGAAGCCCCTTGTTTGTCAAAACGATGTTTAATTTAGTGTTGTCTAATATTTCTTCTGATGATGTTGCAGAAGAACTTCTGTAAACATGGAAAGACATTTGCATAAAGAATATTCTCTTCTTTGTAAAATTAAATGCTAACTATTCCGGTCAATTATGCTGACAATATCAAACATTACCTTATATTTTTCACGCATCCATCACATCCTTCATTTATATTTCTTTTCATGTTTTATTGATATATGTGTATGCTTAGTTTCAAAATAAAATTCATGTCAGAAGGTTGCTGAAAAGAAAATTGTATAGCAGGTGTTTGTTTCAGTGAAACACATTGACGTATGCTTTTAATTTCAAATTCAATAATAAATTGAGCATATTAACAAAAAAATTAGGTGGCTGTCAAGAAATTCATGTCACTTGTCAACAGGTGGTGCTGACGCCACTTGTGGCTACCAAAAATATTTTTAATGTTTTAAAAACCATTTCTATCTGTTGCTCGAAAACTGTAACGATAGTGTAATAAATTTTCAAAGAGGAACTTTAAAAGGTCGAGCTGACAGAGGTTGTAAAATGGATTTTGACGTGGAACGCCTTGAACACGGTCTTCTTCATCAAATACAGAAAGTACTTTATTTACAAGTAAGTACACTATCATACTTTTGTTTATAGGACAGTTACTATACGCCCGATCTTTAAAAAACAAGCACATGTAAAGTTGAAAGACTGAAGAAATGTATAAATATGTTTGTTACATGATGGACACGCACGTATTTATAACGATATGCATTGCATTTATCATTGTACCAGGTAAATGTAAATGAATTAACGATGTAAATGAAGTAATACATGAATGACAAAATATAATGATAAAACTTTCAGATTTTTGAGTATTCATGAAACGCTATGACAGATGAGTAAAGAAATATAATGTTTCAGTTGATAATAATTAAATTTCACAAATGTTTATGAATTTGATCTACATATGTATGCAAGACATATTTACATGAATACAAATTTAGTATTACAAATACCTATTATAAAATTCAACTATTTAACAAAGACTTACAGGTTACAAGCAAACTCATGTATTTCTTTGATATATATGAGGCTTGATGATGAAAGAAAAGTACCAGCGAGTTTATTCCATTCTAAGTTGATTAAATAATGAATTAACAATTTTACAGTTTACTACAAAAATGCTACAACATACAGCTCTATCGTGACAATGCTCCAAGAAATTTCTTGCTGAGGAAAAAAAAATTCATATAGCACTTTATCCTCAGTCTTCCCTAGATTTTGCAACTCACAAATTTTTCCTATTTTCCAGAGTCGAAATAAAGTTAAAAGAGACAAGCTTCGATGATTCTGTCACAATTCGACTGTATCACCAATTCCCACCAGGCTTCTGGTGTAAAAATCGCAGGAATATTGGACTAAGTGTGTATGATCAGAAACGGACTATTTTAAAAGAAATTATCAGGTTCTTTACAATATTCTCTGGTTATAATCAAGCTTTATGAATCTCCCTACAGTGGCGCCATCCCCGCCATACTATGGGCCCTTAGTTCCCTCCAATTCGTTCGAACCTGACCCACAGAGAAGAAATGAAAAAATCAACCAATGAAACTTTCGCAAAATCGTCTCCGCTGCTCGCTATAATTGCATCACGTTGACCCAACCGTTTGCATAGGGGGGGAAATACTGTACCCCATTAATTCAAACGTTCTCAGCACTTTTCTTTTATCACCTCCCGTATATAAAACATTTCTTTCCACGGCATACACAAAACAATAACGTGCTGTATTACTCATATTCGGTTGGTAAAAGTCTCACACATTAGCATCTAATGTCGAAATAGAGTTTAGACCATATTATTTAAGGTGTAGCTTCATGGTAATTATCACTGGCTGAATGTTATACACCATATGCGGTTAAAGCAGGTTGCAATAACAATTCGAATATGCTTCATGGGCTTGAGGTTCATCCGCTAAGTGTATGTCTCTGTGTCCTCTGTGCCTTGCTCCTCCCACTATACCATTGCCCATTGACTTGAGAAGCGCGTGACGATCCCAGAGACCCGGTGTTTGTATTATCTACAAGCAATCGTAGTTGTACTTTATCGTTGAATCCCGAGTTTCCAGTGAAAACATACCTTCTGTACAAGTTCCTCGAAGCAGCACTTAATTCCGTCAGATGTTTTCGCGCTACTCTCAATGTATAGCGCCTGATGCCTTCTAGCGAACTGTAGACCTTCCTCGGTGCTCACCTCACGACTCGGCAAATCGATCTTATTGCCCACTACCATTTTAACAATATCCGTTTTATTGCAGTATGTGCTCAATTCGTTCAGCCATGTCTCTAACTTCAAAAACGTAGTCCTGTCTGTAACATCGTATACCAAGATAGCACCTTGGCCGTCTCTGTAGTAGCTAGGTGTTAGGGTACGGAATCTTTCTTGTCCGGCGGTATCCTACAACACATTCTCGATTAGTTACACAATCGACATTAAAGTTTCTGTAGTGTACAGTAAAACCTTGATTACTGGAACATTACATCGAGGTTCTACTGTGTATTAAATTGATTGAAATAACTAACCCAAATAGCAAGTTTTACTGTATTACCGTCGATTGTGATCTGTTTAGTTTTGTAATCCATACCAACAGTACTCTGCATATTCTCGTAAAATTCATCCTCCGTGAATCTGAGGATGATGCTGGCACGAAAAATCGAAATAGGAACAAATCAATACATACTGCAAACTAATTGATTAGTGCGAGCCAATTAATTCCATTAAAAAAATACCTTGATTTGCCAACATTGGATTCCCCTATTATTAAGAGCTTTAATACTGTCAACACATCCTGTTCTGTCTCCATTATTCAATCTGAGTTATCAGTAGATACCTATCTAACGTTTCTTTTTACTGTGAATATCAGTAGCTCCTGTGATGTTGGGTTCCTTTGTTAAATCCAGACTAGAATCACTCTAACTAGAAGAGAGAGAGAGAGACAATCTATTAGTGAAATTATTTAAATAAAAGCAACACGTAGCTAACTTTTGACGTGACGATAAAGACTAGAAACAAAAACAGACCGTCAATTTGACAGTCTGTTCAAGAGAACCGACGAATTTCGGAAGTAATTCACGTAAAAGCTTACCGTGCTTGTAACAACGTCACTGAAAAATAACGAATGATCTCACACTTTTTTACAATGAATGAATTAACAATACACGCACACACGCTCACAACCTGACCTAGACGGTACGAACGAAAGAAACGTCAAAACAATTATCAAAAGTGTCCGCGAGATAAAGCAGATGTCGCTTCTATTTGTTTCCACCAATTATCCGTAAAAAAAAAACCGTGCTTTCGTTCAAAGTACATACTCACATTATTCGCGATACCGAGAAATAAACACACACAAAAATACACAGGAGAGCTTACATGCCGAGTTGCAGCCTGAATCACAAATAAATCGTCCCTAAAATTGTTATCGTTTCTCAGACAATTTGCGTACGATCGCGCATGAATTCCTGACGACGAAAAGGGGAAAAAGTCTACAGACATGGGGCATCGAGTGAATTCCACGGCTAAAATTATGCTTTCGAAAGATGGAAAACGATATGGCCGTTTGAATTCCTAACCTCACCGCGATATTCCCGTATATACGTGCTGTGTTATCTTGCGTCAGATAACAGTTTTATCAGGCTGGCTGTCAGGCCAGGCGAGCAGATTCATAGAGACACGGCGTCTGAAGCGATGCGACACAAGGGTCGAAGGGGGGGAGGAGGGGGTATGTGATCGATCTTTCCCCACGAAATTCGGTGAATACCCGTGACCGAGAAAACCGTAACAGACCGATCGAACGAACGGAGGATCCGAAGTAGATCCGTCCCCCAAAACTGTACTCACCGGCGAGGGACCATAACGTGCGCTATGTCTGTGCGCGTCATCGGGCCAGTGCTTCGTGTCGCGGTATCGAAAAAATCGCACGAGTTTTTACGGGTTCCCTTGTAGTTGGCGGCAGGGACGCGGGGCGAAACGAACAGACGAAAAAAAGATGGCCGCCGAGCGGCTGCCATGAAGGGGCTGTGTCGCTCGTGCTCGTGGAAATGGGACGTTGCGACATCCAAGTGTCACCGTAGGCGCTCGCGAAGTGTCACAAAGTGTTCCGTAGGTGACGTGAAGTGTTTTTTAGTGTCGGTGGTTCGTTGGCATCGTCAGGGTGGATTGATTTTCCCGTGATGGCATCCGACGGGTAAGCCAGAGAGAATTTTCCGCTTCTCGATACGGGGGGGAACGCGGATTTTAACGCACCGAGAGAGCGGAGAGAGGAGAGACAGCAGGGCCTGTGTACTCTCTCTCTGTGTGTGCGCGGCTATATGTTTCTCTGTATGTTTCTCTTGCGAGCAGCAGATCGATAGCGAACGTTCTTTTTTTTTTTTCTTCTTCATTCCCCAGTGACCCGTCCCAGTTTTCCTTGGGAAAGAGGCTCGTCGTGATCCTCGAGGCACGCTCGTGTCTCTCGTGCCCGTCTACCTTTGATAGTCGCTATCTCGGACTGGGTGGGTCTTGTTTCCCCTCGGTACGAAATCTTCTCTTCACGGGGCACCTCCTATGGGGATTATATCGTGCTCTACTGTCCACCCATCTCTTTCTCGTCGCCGTCACTTTCGGTTTCCTTCTTTTTTTTTTCTTTTCGTCACGTTTACTTTTTACTGCGCTCCCTGTGTGTATACAACTGTAATGTGTGTGCACGGGAACGAATTTCTGGCTGCCTATTTCAGTCAATTAAACGGATAGCATGACATCAGATGGTTGCTCGTATTGCGGCTAGCATTCCTATTAATTTATGGTCACACGGGGGGGCGAGGAGGGTGGGGGTGAACACCCTTTTGTCACGAAGAAACTCTCCCGTTCGGTTTTAATGCTGGTTCTTCTTCCTACTTCCCCATCCCTCCCCCGTGTTCCCCGTAGATTGTTGACAGTCCCGATTTACGATTCGTCGATACCGACTTTTTCCTTCACGTGAAAAGGCGATTACCGACGAAGCGCCTCCGTCGTACCCCCCCGATTTCCTCGGATTTGACGGAATGCTATTGATTAATTATTTATAACTTACGAGTTAATTTTCGACCGATTTTCCGGGGGTTTGGTTCTTTGAAAAAAGAAAAAGTGCCGGGCCAATTGTCTTCTGCCGCAAAGTCTATATGTATATTGTTCGTACTGATTTTTCTGTAACTTGTGCAAGCAAACGCGTTCTACTCTGGCTATCTGCATTTTTCTCACTTTGCCCGTACTATCTTTAGCATTTTTAATTATAGTATTGAGAAGGAGCAACAAATTTATCTTGTGTTCAACCTACACGTTTTAACGATTTAACGCATTAACGGTTGTGTCGGGATGCTTTGTATTGTTTAAACAATTCTCCTTTCTTTGTTGTTTAATCGTTGAAGGTTATTTTGATTAAAGTGCAGAAGAATAGATATAGTTTGTATCAGTTGACGAAATGAAATATTAACAAATGACATTTAATTACAGTAGAATGGAATGGGTGGAAATTATAGAACCTCGCACAAAGGAGCATATGTATGCAAATCTCACGACTGGAGAATGTGTATGGGATCCTCCACCTGGTGTACCAGTGTAAGTCATTTTCTTTTGCATAATTTTAAAAAAAGTATCTCTAATAATATAGCTAGTACACTTATTTCTAAAGAAACCTTTCTGTTATAGTACAGTAATATTATAAAGTCAACTTTTCTACTAAGAATTACCTGCCCAACATTAAATTGTCTTACTGTTCTAATTAGCTCGGTGAAAGTTATCATACAAGGTTTTCCTTTTATGATATAGGAAGCACTTATAAAGTGGCAGAGATTTCTATTTTGATGGCATGCTTTGAATTTAAATGTACTTCAAGTTTTATTCTACTCCACTGGAATTCTCTCCTCTAAATTGTTCGGTATTACTGGATGTGCTCTTAATTATAGGAAAAAAACAGATAACAATCAGTGGTGGGAATTGTTCGATCAAAACACTTCACGGTTTTACTATTACAATGCAACCTCCCAAAAAACTGTTTGGCACCGTCCGAGCGATTGTGACATCATACCATTAGCAAAACTCCAGGTGAGTGATTCACCAATACTGATAACAAATATCGAATTTTTGTGAGTGGTGGCTTTAACAATATCCATGATTGAGAATTCGCAAAAGTAGGTGGGTCATGGTAAATCTCACGAATTTTTTGGAAATGATATCATGTATTGATGTTTACTCAGTAAACATAGCATTCGACTTATTGGGGACAAAGGTTCTGTCAACCACATGTGTAGACATAATGATTTGTAAGCATCAATGTAGCTGTTCAGTAGAATGTCAAGGCTATAAGTGTGCAAGCCGTCTGCTCTCCCTTCAGCTATAAATAGACATTTGTAGCTAAGAGAAAAAATTGTGGTCTACACTAGGTCACACGAAAAGCCTAAAAACATCTGGGAATCACTGTATTTAACGATATTACAATAGTTGAATAATCATATTATTATTTGTATGAGAATTATTTTCAATAAAATTCCATTAACGCAAATATTTATTTAAAATATATGGTAGACATTAAAGCAGAACACAGAGCCACCCAGCAGTAGTGGAATCGATACACAAAAGTCAGCCGAGCCAAGAAAGAAAGAATCTGTATCCACACAGACACAAACCCCTTCCGTTAGCCGTTCAACAAGGTTCAGTCATCAAGAAAGTTCCAATTTATCTTCTTCGTTGGTGGGTTTCCTATACTTTAAACCTATTTCGTGAGGACAAATGCTGTAATAGTGCTCTGATTGTAGCAAAGTGGTAGTGTAAATAAAACACGAATATCTGGTGTCGGTGTGGATCTCCAGACGTCACCACCTTCGCCATCTCCGTCTACAAGGCGTCATCATCACCATCACCACCATCATAACAACAGGCACCATAGGCACCATGAAGTGCCCACCACACGACGCCAACATAATCATTCTCAGGACTCTGGACGTTCCAGTGACAGTTCGGTCTCCCACAGTCGAACGTCTTTGGAGTCGACTGGTTACCGTCTGTTGGACTCTCCGCACCGTCATCATCATCGTTCCGCCGTCCAAACACCGGCGAATCAAGCACAATCCTCGCCCAGACAGCACAGCGGCACGTTAGAGGCTAGGGGTCACAAGAGCGGAACTTTGGAGAGCGTGAAGAATCAGAAGTCTGTGCCATTGGGTGAACCGCCTCCATTAGGTCTATCACTTTCGACTAGTACTCCTCTGTTCAAGAAGAAGACGTTCGTCGACGCGCAACGCGAGGTTCGGGCCGGGAATTTAGAATTGGAAAAGAATAAAAATGGTAAGAATGTGAGTTAAGTTTTGTAAATTTTAAGTTTTGACACACCACTCCTATTTTAAACGGCCTAGCGAGAGCGGAGGGGAAATGTAAAATTGTTTCTCTTCTTAATATTTATAGGTAGAGAAAGTAGTAGGGGTTCTTATGGTCCTGAGCCGAGTACTTCACCATATCGTGATTCGCTGATGGAATCTAGAATATTCAGGCAAGAGATGCCTCCGTACCGTCCGCCTGAAGTTCATGAACGAGTAAATAGTTTGGACAAAACAAACACGTCAGCCTTTTATCCAAGTTCCATGCATTCGCGTAATATGAATAAGCAAGATAATACCGGTAGTATAGGAAGACGGCATCACGGATGCTCGGTGTCCCTTTCCGAAGCGAACGTTAGAGATATGTACGGCGCCATGCTGGCGGAAAGGAACGAACCGTCGAAGAGCCTCGTGAGGGGCACCGCGGTTCTAACTAATGCATCGAAGCAGAAAAGCCTTGAGATCGCGGAAAGAGAGAGAGAACGTGAACGTGACAGGGAAAAGGAGTATAGAAGAAATACAGCGTGCAATAATTCTTTGGATTGTAAGTAGACCACTTAATTTTTGGAACAACCAAATACAGTAGATCATCGATGAGTGTTTGAAGGCTCCTCGGCACTGAACGTTCAGACGTTATCCCCATTACTGGACGCTTGACTGGTTCCACAAGGGATCCCTCAGTATTGGGGATGACGTCTGAACACTCATCGGTGATTTACCGTACACCTAACAGGCCGATTTTGATTCTCACAATGTATGTTCCTTTAAGGTGTGCCACAACCGTTGGCCCGCAGTTACAGTTTTGTACAGCAACAGAAGCAGCAGCAGAAGATGCAGCAGATGCATCAGCAACAGTCACGAAGACGGGACAGGGACGACGATTCTATGCACGAGCGTTATTTAATAAGTCAAAGTCACGAGCAGCCTAGGCAAAGGCTTAGCAGCAACACTAGCAGTAGCAATAGTAGTAACAGTAGCAGTAATAGCGCGGTAGGGGAGGAGACGGAGGGGCTCACGGAGGGGGACGAAAGTAAGAAGAAGAGGAGCAACGGTAACCCGAGTCCGCCACCGTCACCGTTCTACGGGAATCCATTATCCGACGCAGATTACTTGTTACCGCTTCAACATTATATTCTTCAGCAAGCAAAACTCTCAGGTGAAAGCTGGCCACCTAATCGTCCTACAGTCGTAAGAAACTAACCGAACCGCCCAAAGTTATAGTCAGCACCATTTTTTCTGTACCCCAGGTTGTTACAAGTTCGGAGACCCTTTATTAGCAGAAGAAGGTGATGATTCCTTGGACGAAGAGGGCGGAAGAGGTGAGGGTATTGGGGGGAGAGCCGATGACGATTCTGACGATCAGTTTGCAGATGACGAGGCAGCCAGTAACCAGGGTGATTCTTCCAGCCAAGAGTACCTCGAAGATCATTATGCGGGTCAGTACTCGAGGGGAACGTCAAGTGGAGTATATCCTCGCGTCCGTGGACCATTAACATTTCTGTCCCCTGTTATTACCGCAGACTTGGGCAATTACGACACCGCAGGCTTAGCGACTTACTACAACACAGCGGACACTCTGACCAGGCCACAGGTACGTCCGCCATCGCCACCGATCACCGTGCCCCAGACCGAAATACGGGACATCGTGACCACCACCAGACAAGTGACCGTTCCAACGTCCACGATAAGCTCGATTCCCGCGATCGGCACCATCAGGGTCGACAACATCGACACCGAAGAGGCCAGGCGAAACGACAGCGCGGGCGGCGGCGACATCGAGAAATACGCGCAGGACAACCTGAACCTGAACTGCGGCCGCCCGAAGGGGCTACGGTTGCTGTTTCGGAAAAAGTTCAGCGTCCGTGACATTCTCAGCTGGTCGAAGGACCCGATACCGCAGCCGATGCTGGTGGTCGTGGACGGTGAAAAGTTACTGAAACGGGACGCCTGCAACCTGTTCCGTTTGGTGCAAGTGTACATGGGTGATCGGAAAACGAACGTGGGAATGACGCTGGACAGTGTGGCCATGGACATTGTGAACACCGCGTTCTCGAAGCCCCCGTTACGGGACGAATTGTACGTTCAGATCTGTCGACAGACCACCGAGAATCCTCGGAAGGAAAGCCTGCGAAGGGGTTGGGAGTTAATGGCGGTATGCCTGGCGTTCGTGCCGCCCAGCGCAACGTTCGAGCCTTACCTCGAGGGCTACATGAACCGACATCGCGATCCGAACTTTCAATTCCCCGAGGTGGCCAAATGGCCGATCCACGTGCAGGTCAGCCACTACGCGACCGTTGCCTGTCGGCGTCTCCAACGAATTGGCGCGCATGGCAAGCGACAGCCTCGAAAGGCCACCATAGAGGATATCGATCAAGCTAGGGTATGCTTCATTTTCTTGAGACTTTTACTATCACTTCGGATGTTTATCTAGATCTTCGTAACCTAATTTAGAAGAGCTGGATTGAAATAGAAATTTCTTTAATTATTCATTGTGTCAGGTTCCATGTAAGAGATGGTGAAGAGACCCAGTTTAGTTTAGTTTGAACATTGTCACCCGGGAGAGGGGAATTTTGGTACTCCCCTCCAAGGCCCAGCTTTGACTTATTTTGTCATTAGTCATAGTCCCGAAATTGGGACTACTGAGGGCGTTACCCAGGGATGATATTTCCCCCGATTTTCCAACCCGTCCAACTTTTTTAGACCCTTCTTAAATTGTATCAAACTATTCACTGTAGCGATTTCTAGATTATCGTGTGGTTATGATATATTAACACTTTCGGTGTAATGTGTTGTAGATCCAGATATTCCGGGCGTCCATGTTCGGAGCAACGTTATCGGAAGTGATGGCTCTGCAGAGAGACAGATTCCCGAATCGAGAGTTACCATGGATACAGACCACGTTGACGCGACAAGTGCTCGCCCGCGGTGGTATTCTGACTGAGGGTATATTCAGGGTATCCGCGGACGCGGACGAGGTGAGCGCGTTAAAGGCGTGTTTGGATAGGTTCGAAGACGGCACGATTCTGGCAGTTTCGCAGGACGCTCACGCGCCTGCTTCACTGTTGAAACTATGGGTACGCGAGCTATACGAACCTCTGATACCTGATTCCTTTTACACGGAGTGCGTGTCGATGAGACACGACGACGCCGAGGTCTCCGCGGCAAATGTCGCCGGGCTTGTGGATCGATTGCCTGACCTAAATCGTCGGGTTCTTTGTCACCTGATACGGTTTCTACAGGTGACTATACTCTCTCTGTTCAGTATTTTCTGGGCCCTGACTAGAACTGTATTCGGATATTCGAATACGGATAATTTATTCGAAGAATTCGAATGATTTCGATCGCGAATAATTTATTCGAAGAATTCAAATAGTACTAAGTATTCGAATAATTCGAATAACACGGAGCATTCGAATATTTGAATGTTCAATTATTACAAAGTATTCGAATAATTTAAATATTTGAATATTCGCGAATAGTATGAAGTATTCTCTGACGAATCTGCACCGCCTTCGTAGGCTTTTACAAGAGTTGAACCAATTCGCATAAGGCTAAATCAACGTGAGATATTACAACTCTGTTTAGCCCAGTATTTTTTTTCTACAAATAATAGTTATTTATTCTTTACAAGAAATTATTCTCACTACTTACTGGAATAATTCTTCATTTGAACAATTTCTTCGAATAATAACTGTAAAACTATTCGAATGATAATACCAATAAACGATACTGATTGCTCTCGTTCGAAACTTTATAACATCACCGAAGAATGACGAAGATTCGAATTTAACGTTTGAAAAACAAATCATTGTAAAGGCCAATGTGAAAAGTATTTCGCGATCAACTGTGAAAAAATTTATTGTGTTCAAATTCCTATTCGATTACTCCGAATAATCCGAATACTTTGAATACTTCGAATATTTGAACATTCTGAATAATCCGAGTGCTTAGAATCATTCGAATGATTCGTTTATCAAATTCGAATTCTAATGCTATTCGAACATTCGAGTATTTGAATATTTGATGATTCGTAACAGCCCTAGTCCTGACCCCTGCGTTCTCCTGTAATCAGAAAAAAAACAATTGTTTTTGTAGATATTCGCGAGACCAGAGGTGGTAGCCCGTACCAAAATGGACGCGAACAACTTGGCGATGGTGATGGCCCCGAATATACTGCGTTGCACCTCCCAGGATCCCCGTGTGATCCTGGAGAACGCACGAAAAGAAATGGCTTTTGTTCGTACTCTTATCGAGTCATTAGAAACCGCTTGGGTCGATGATCTTCACTGACCTCATTCTATTGCGCTAGAAGAAAATGAACGCTCTAGACTACTATGCCAAATGAAAAAATCAGCTGTATATTCATAAGTATCGTTAGTTATTTCACTATTTCTCGATTATCTTTCACGCCTTCGTTTCGTTTTTTTACTTTTCTTTTTTGGTCATTGTCACCACTTCCCTGGCTCCCCTTCGAAATAGTCCCGTGAATGTTCTTAAATGGTAATTTAGTGGCTAAAGTCTTACCAAGCTAATCAACGGAGCACCCCCCTCCTCTTCCCCTCCGCTCGTTCCCCTATTTATTATTTATATTGCAAATTATATGTTATACAGATAGAGATTATTAGATTATATTATGTATATCACTTATATATCATATTATATATATATTTTACCAACCCCCTTGTTACCGCGTTGCGACGAGAAACGCGGACGGCTTTTTTACTCGATTATTGTTGAATCTCGTGTAAGATAAAAAAAAAAACGAAAAAAGAAACAAACTGGAAATCATGTGTTACCGTGTATAGCTGCACATCTCCGCGATTGAATCTTTTTTGTATAAGCGACGAATATGACCACCGTGTACAACGTTTATCGAGAGGAGTAAACATATTGCAGAAGATTAGCAAGCTGTACAAAGTGTGCGTGTATGTGTAATTCTTTTTCCTAACGGCAGCCTTCTGAACGCTTTATAACCTCTCAACGAGACAGATCGTATAATATTCTTTCCAATTCGTTAACCACACGACGCAGTGTCTTGTGCTGTATTGGATACCAAAATTTATATATTTTACACACGAAGATACTTATGAAAAAAAAAAGAAATCCTACTATTTACGTTTTTTTTTTTTAACAATATGCAGTTACACAAGGTGGTTTTACAGCTGCTCTCTCTTGTTTTCTCCTGATCTGTACAATATATTTTTCGTTTGCGCCACGAGAGTTACCAGTAAAATTATCGTTATTTAAATATATAATATTTAAAATTATACAAAACAAAATATCACAAACGATGGGATCGCCATTATGCCACGCGATGGACCGATGCTTCTTTTCTTTTCCTTTCTTCTTTTATATGTAAATATCGTATAAAAATTAGTATTACCGATTCTTGTGTCGGAAACTCGATGGTATATAAATCACTCGCAACATATCTGCCTTCTAGACACTACACTAGCATTATCTAGTTACACCTATATAATTTTATATACAAGATGTACAAAGTAAAATTGATTACACTAATACTGCTGCAGATTACGCGCCCGATTTCGTACGTTACCACTTTCGTTAATATTAATATATATTCATAATTGAACACGCTTTTCTCTCCTCCCTAGGGGAGGTCACGAATTCGTTTCCGGTTCGAGTGAAATCCGGAATTTTGTAAAATAACATATTTTTTTTTTCTCTAGCAGATAGCACACACATCTTACCGATAATTTTTGTTGTACGAAAAAGCTTTTTGTGGCGTTTCACAAATTCACCAGTGTGTCTTTCGTGTTTCTTTTTGGAAGATAAGTATTACCAATTTTATCATTTTGTTTTTTGTCTAGAAATCGTTGTAACCAGCTTCTTCTTGTAAATAAACTTCTTTTCGAAAGCATAAATAGGCACCGCTTCACACGATTGAAATTACCAGTCGCATATTATAAGATCAGTACAAGTCGAGTTCAAAGTCTTAATAGATCTAAGAATAACACGATTTACCTTTCGTAACTTTCCGATTTATCCCTTAAGTAAGCTTGCAAGAAGTTATCTTAGTGTCCTAATCACCATACTTTTTTCACAGGAACAATCTGAAGTATCTTGAGCCAATCACTCCGCCGTCAAAACAAAAATAGAACACTTTTCAGCAGAAACATGGGTGTTAGCAGTTGTCGACAAACGACGCTGTGGATCCACTGGCAATCTCTGCGTACTCCTGCCTGCTTGCCGAGCAAAGTTTACTGGTGAAGTCTGTTTCTCTTTTCCTGTGCACAGAAACGTAACTGTACTTTATAAAAATATGCATGATACACAACATAGTTTACTAAGCGTCATTACTAAAATAACGTTTTTATAAACTGTTGCAGAGTCTGGAAATGTGAAATACTCCAAGAAATCTGGTCAATGTATCACACACTTGTATACAGGGCGAGTAAATAAGAACTACTGTCTAAAATAACTCGTTACCTATTGGTTGTATCAGATACAATTTGATTTTTTTATATCTTATTTTGTTTTAGATATCAAGGTGACCTTGAGAAGGACGAATTCAGCGATCTAAAGCATGATCGTATTTAAAAAAAGATGCATTGACCTTGAAATAACTCAAGGTCACCTTGGTATCTCAAAAGAAAAGAAGATATAAAAAATTCAAATTATATCTTTCCGATGCGTTCCCTAAAACGCTACATAATTAATTGAAATGTTTTCTGATACAACCATTAGGTAACGAGTTAATTCAGATAGTAAGAATAAAATTTGGTGCTCAGAATTAATACTTAAGACTTTAGGGAAGTGCTTTTTGACTCACCCTGTGTATGTCCAGATAGCATACGACGACATGAAGACGCCCATTTTACGGCTATTTTAGGTCTGAGGCGCCTTTAAGCCGTCTGTGTGCTATCTGGGTGACTAAAGATAATACAGGGTGGACCGGAAATCGTAGTACAACCGGGCAGGGGGTGATTTTACGTCGAAAAAGAAGAAAATATTTTGGTGTAACATTTTCTCATCCGGGGCTCCGTTTTCGAGAAAATGGACTTTAAAGTTTATTCAACTTTTAAACGAATTAGTACAATTTGCTTGTCGTGTATTCCACTACTGCGGTTGTCTCTGTCCGAGACAGTGTTTACAATCATCGATGATTGTGTGGATAAAACAATATAAAGTGTTTTTACTAATTACTCATTTTTTATTCTTTTTTACTACAAGCAAATTGTACTAATTCGTTTACAAGTTGAACAAATTTTGAAAACGGAGCCCCTGATGAGAAAATGTTATACCAAAATATTTTCCTCTTTTTTAACGTAGAATCAGTTGTACCACGATACTCACCCTGTATAATGGATAGTGAAAAACTCACCCTCTGGCGGGAAGTTCCATGACGTCCACGGTGACGCTGTTCACGTACAGCCGATCGTTGCACCAGAAGAAGCACAGGGATCTAGGCTGCAGCACGTCCATGTCGTATGTCCATGAAAGTTCGACTCGCCTGACTTTTCCAATTTCACCGGTCGCCCCCGCTGGATGCGCAACAACCATTCGCACCGTCGATCCGTGCTCCAGTTTCATGTACCCGCTGCACAAGTCCGCGGGTGAAAGAAGCAATAAATTTTATCTTTTCGAAAGTATCGTTCCCTGTCAAGCGTCACGATGCTGTGTATGCAAGTGGCTGAGCGACTTTGCTCTTAGAACATGACACTGTCAGCTTGTTTAACCACGTTACAAAGGTTCAATACATTTGTTTTGTCGATATTCTTTCACTTTACTGGTATACCGAATTTTTAGGGGTTAGATGGTCTTTTAGAGAGCAAAAATCGAGAGCCTTGTTAACCCAGAAGCTAAGCTATAGGATTTCAGTACTTAAGATTCTATAATTAAAAAGTGGCGAAGTTAGGAGTTTTCAGACGTTTAAAAGATCTATTTATATTTAGAAGAATGTTACCTAGGAGTTAAATCGACGTCACGTATGATGCCATTTTCAGCGTGGAGAGTGACTTTCATGAAACCTTGGACCCAACTTTCAGCGGTCGGTGGTCGCGCGAGGTTGATAGTAATCCTATAATGTCTCCCTTAAAAAAGAGAATAAACATTCAAATTATAATTAATAATGCTAATAAAGAGTGGGCGTAAAGATATATGTCTTGTTGAATATCATTTGAATAAATCAGAGCGTGTCAAGACTGAAACGTGAAGGAACACAGAGACATCAAAAACATGGTTATGAATCTTGATCGATGGGCGCAATTCCGGTTACAAGTTTCTAATCGATACTTATGTAGGGCAGACTTAAATCAATCTCTCGTGACATGTGGTGATAAGAGGGTGAAAGCAGACTTACAATTCTCAATAATAATTGCATAAATTCAACTTTTGAAATTATGCACTTTCCAAATTGACGATCGAAAAACTCTTTAGGTAAGTATACGATTAAAATGAAGAAAAAAAAGAAGGCTCCAATCCATTTTTTCTTATTTACATTAGCAGCTGAACTGTACAAACTTTTTATTTGTACTAAAATCCTTTAGGTTTCAATCGTTCGCCCACAGATGGCGCTGATTTCTCAAGGATAATAATTTGCCCTCCTCCGGGGCGGCTGTGGCGATACCGCAAAATACAAGTTGTAAGTTGTGTTCATTACAATGCAACCGAAACACTAACGAATAAAATGTTTACTTTGTAAATCTTATAAATTGTTATTAGGAAATCCACACTTACATCTTTATATCGTGAGGAGTCTAGTCATTTACAATAAAAGTGTCTTGGAGTGCAAAACGATTAATTATTGTGTATTTTTTAAATAAAAATTTCTATTAATTTCTAATAAGTTTCATGAAAATTGTTATCTTATTTAAAGGATGACATAGAATAAATCTAATACTTACTACAATAGGGGTCATCTTTGCCGGTGCTAAAGAAGAACTTTGACCCCAGTAGGGACAGAACATCTTGGCCCATGGCCTGTCGCCTGATCAGGGCGGGACTGGTGTCTGCATGGTATCCCATGACACCGCAGCTGAGGCTGTTGTTGCTCTTACAGGAGAAACACTCGCCCCTCAAGAAGCTGGTGTAACTGGAGCACTCGTGCGCCACGTATTGGCACCTGGAGTTTATGCTTTCAATGAATAGCTTTATGGCACGCACATGATTGCAAGCCACCAGCACCCTGGATGCCTCCTCGAGGCCTTCCTTTATCAGTGTCAGGGGCAAAGATGGAGTTGTTTCACTGAGATCTGTACAACCTGGCTGCTCCTTGCCGTTATTGGGGTAGAAGTCCAGGTGACCGCATGGCTGACTCATTCCGTACCCTGGAAGCCCTTATAGTATGCTAAATTAATCGAGTGTCTCTATTGTGAATCACATAAGTCTTTGGAGTCAGAGGAAACCGTTTCAGTGATTCACATATTTGTACGCATACTTCCAAGGTATCAGTTGAATGTAAAAATTTATATACAATTTCTGTTCACGTGTCTTCATTATTTTTACTTTTATCATACTTTACTGGAAAGTTTTTCTTAATTTTGAAATAAAATTCGCAATTTAGTACGTGTGTTTCTCAAATAAAGGAAACAGCGTTTTGTAAACAAATCTGTTAGTCACTGCATGTTCTGAAGACAAGAATCATCCTGGAGCATTTCTATGTGTTCTGAATTTTTTTTTTATGAAAGCAATGGAATCATAATTCAATCCAATGCCATTCGGGAGATACTTTTACTAATCCATTAAGCTGTCAAAAGCTCTTTTCCATATCGGGAATTGATTAATGCTATTTACAGCAGGGAAAGTGGCATTCTGGAATGATGGATGAATTGGACACAGTTGTCATTTAATACTTGTTTATATCATTCTTGATTAGTTTCCTTACCTAGGAAAAAGATGTTTTTACCATCGGTGTGAATGACGTCGACTAGCTTCGCGTCGGTGTAGTCCAGTCTCAGGTGACTAGGCATTCCTTGGAAATACGGCTCGGCAGGATCCAGACCAGTAATACGGCCGATATTTCCGTTCAGTTTCTCCCCTGCGTAGCCAGCTGTATGGGCACCCAGACTGTGACCAATTAGGTGTACATCGTTGGGATCCAGTCTGTAATTCGTCTGTGATTCACAGAATTTTATAAGTTCTACAGGACATTTTATAAGTTCTCCAAGATAGGCCAGTTTGCAACAGTTGATTTATTCATTATTTAAGTAAAAAAGAAAATTGTTATATTTTCAGTACCTGTAAATGTTTAACGAGATGAGCTATCTCAAGGCCAACAAGTCTGGTATTAGCAGTCGCCTGAGTGTAGAGTGGTAGACTTCCTCCAGCCCAGTCGACAATGACGACATTGTAGTCGTCATGCTTGAGTAACTCGTTCCTCATTTCCTACGGTTAATGAACATTTAGGTGACCTGGCTTCGATGGGGTATTTATAAAATAAAAGGATTCTTCAAACAGTTTGTCGATTTTTTCCTTTACATAAACAATATCCAATTCAATGACATATGACTTGTGTTTGAACAAATTGTATATAGTGATTCACCTAACTTGAAGACATAACATTGCTCTTGAGCTGCTTGTTCTGTGAAAAAAGTTGATGATACTTGAGTTGTATATAAGATCGATAAAGGTACCGAGACAATTAAATTACAAGGTAGACCATTTGGTGCGCTAGTCTAGTTTATTCCGAATTTTAATGTTATAAGATCGAACCTAATGAGCTGCTCAAGGTCAGTTTCCCCACCACGAATCAAGCACACTATGGGGGTGAATTGAAACAGTAACCTTTAAATGCTATTTAATTCTGATACAACTATAATGATATTAAGACGTTATATTTCGTTTATTTAGTGGACTTACCTTCACCCAATTACTAAGTGGGGTGTCTATAAAACCATGTATGATGAATTTTGTTTTTCGTTTTGGATTGAAGTGGGACCGTTTGATAGACTTGTCCTTGGCGACTATCAGCACCTGGCCCTGGAACACGAGCAAGAAATTAAAAAGAAAAAAAAAGGAAAAAGAACAATAAATAATTTTCGTTGAATAAATTAAACATTTAAGCTTCCTTGTTCTCGTGCATTAAGGAGCACCAGGTTTGCTTAATTAATTTAGACGGGACAAAGAGATCTAGACACCGATGGAGATCGATTTTCTCCGAGCTGTTTAATTAACGAATCTCACGAAATTCAAATCAACATAATTAAACGTAATTCCATGGATTTAACCGTTTCACATCCTTCACCCGTAGGCCTCTAATTAAGGAGTTGATTCACCGTGATAAATGCTCGCGAAACGTTTCCAGAAGGAAGAACCTACCTTGACGCCCAACGTAACAACAGGCAGAATAATTTTCACGCACTGAATTGTTACACACCACTAATTATCAATAAATTAATTGGAATTCTATGCTCTGCACTCACCTCTGTGGGATTCTCCTTTGTGTACAAGATGAACCGTGTGTTAATAACCTCACGCGGCAGGGGAAAGACATTCAGGGGTCTGTGGATCAGGTGGTACCAGCTCCTGGTTATGTTCAAACAGCCTAGCTCGTCGTAGCAACGTGTCTCGTTCTCGACTGATCATGCGAATCCAGATGATCACGAACAAGAGAAACTCAGTTAGTTCACACATTCATAATTCTTACGAAGATCAGGTAGATACCGATATTATAAGAAGGAGGTTCAATGTCCCATGGTCCATTCTTCAGAGGGTTGGAAAAGTAACGCTTTAGGGCAGAATTTGGTAAGGGACACGACGAAATTTAATCTGAAGGGTGTTCATCAATTGGAACTGATATATATGAGCTAAGGGGTTTAAGGTTGGAACCTATCAAGAAATAAGTTCAGTATTCTCTGTCTATAAACACGGTCTGCAGATCTCATTAGAATCGCTATCCTTATTATATAATAAGATCAGCTGACAATTGGGGGACTTATTTCATTCTAGGCACTGGAATAAACCAGTACCTCTCTATAATCGCGTTGCCAGTTTTAAGTACCGCGACTATAGAAAGGGAATATTATGTGTACAGTTTATTTGAATGAAATACTAAAGGGTCTAAAGTTGAAATCTATCAAGAAGTAAGTTCAGTATTCTCTGTCTATAAACACGGTCTGCAGATCTCATTAGAATCGCTATACTTATTATATAATAAAATCAGCTGACAATTGGGGGACTTATTTCATTCTAGGCACTGGAATAAACCAGTACCTCTCTATAATCGCGTTGCCAGTTTTAAGTACCGCGACTATAGAAAGGGAATATTATGTGTACAGTTTATCCGAATGAAATACTAAACGGTCTAAAATTGAAACTTATCAAGAGGTATGTTCAGTATTCTCTGTCTATAAACACGGTCTGTTAATCTCATTTGAATCTCTATCCTTATTATATAATAAAATCAGCTGACAATTGGGGGGCCTTATTTCATTTTAAGCATTCAAATGAATTAGTATCTCTCTATAAGTTCACAGACAGTTTTAATTAGCGTGAGTATAGAAAGGGAATATTATGTGTACAGTTTATCCGAATGAAATACTAAAGGGTCTAAAATTGAAACTTATCAAGAGGTATGTTCAGTATTCTCTGTCTATAAACACGGTCTGTTAATCTCATTTGAATCTCTATCCTTATTATATAATAAAATCAGTTGACAATTAGGGGGTTTTACTTCCTTCTAGGAACTGAAATAAACCAGTACCTCTCTATAATTGCGTTGCCAGTTTTAATTACCGTGACTATAGAAATGGAATATTGTGTGTACAGTTTATGTGAGTGCAAACTGAATGGTGGTTTTAGAAGGTAATTACATGGCAACCATGGAATGTTGACTTCGATTCGGTCACTACGCGCCCACTGCCAGGGGTCCAGGATTCCGGCGGAGCAGATAACAGGAGCCAATGCGACGAGTAGCAGAATCGAAGCTCCTTCGCCCTCGGTGACTCCTTGCTTCTTACCCCTCATTCTGCAACAGATCGCGATGAATTATTCGACTGGTTTCGATTCCTTTAACCTTTTTTCTCCCAAAAAGTGAAGATCCCCATCTTTACCCATTCTATTTTACATTATACAGTAAATCCTCGATGAGTGTTCATGTCTGAAGAAGTTTCAGAGTTGCTAACAACTGATAAGGAGTCAGAGCATTTTGATGTGTTCAGGGAACATCCCATTTTTGGGATTTTATTCCCAACATCGGTACCCCGAAAATTTCAGGTTTTTTTTAGTAAAGTACCGAACAAAATAAAAATTCATGCGATATTTTATAACACACCAAGGAGGTCTGACACCCTTAAGCACTAAATCACACGAATGAAACTTTATCGTAACTACGTTTCGTTCGAATGATCTGAAGCATAATGCAGTAAATCCTCAATGAGTGTTCGAAGGCCCTTCGACATTAATAAGGGGAGATACCCAGACGTAATGCTGACTTTTTAATGAGGTTTAACACAGTGGCTATTAGCTTATGAAATATTCAATGTCCAGAACCTTCGAACACTCATCGAATATTTACTGTATTTTTTGAAAATTTCAGAAATTTCTTGAAAAGTCTTTGTAAATGATTGCAATGAAAGTTGATAAATAATGTGTAATACGGAAAAATATAGGTCCTGAATGTGATTCGTTTCCACAAACCGGGTAACCGACACGTGCACGACTTTCATTCGCATTGCAACTGCTCGTAACCGATTCCCACAATCCTCGGGATACCCATTCGCGTGGACTTAATGAATGAAAAATCACGTGCAAAAAACAGTGTCCGTTTCGCAAATAGGTGAATGGAATTGAAACACGGATAAGATCGGGCATGCAACTCGATCTAAACGCGATAATTCCAAGATTCAACATAATGTTTGGAAAATGCGCAAGTTGACTGTTTAATTAACACGGCTTGCTTCTTTTCATGGGCACATATTTTCCACGTGTGGTAATCCTCTGTCTTTTTTGCTATCAGAAGAAAATCAGCACTGGCTGACATCGGAATACCTTTTTACGTTTCACAGATGACCATATTACACAACAATAATTCTTAGAATTTTGCAATTGTAGCACAGATGATTCTCTATATTTTTCAAAGAGTTCAAAAGACCTTGATCCAACGACACACATCACTGATGTAAATATTTTTTTTTATGTGATCCTTTTGCACAGGTAAGACTTGTAGTTTCCACTTGTCACACATATTAATAACAATCGATCGATCAGGAAATAATTCAATGAATGATCACCTGTCACAGACTCGTGGCTTGGTGGCGATCAAGCGGTCGGAATTAGTTGCTCGAAAGATTCGCATCACCCAGAAGATCGTTACTAAATGCCCGAAAGAATGGTCAGCGTGAAAAAAGTTGCCATTTCATCCTGGTGGGGGACAGAACGATGGCCTTCGAGGATAAGGAAACCTTGCCCGGACACGTCTTATTAATTCGTAAAACATTCAGGGGCCCCATATTCTGATATTTATTTCGTCATTTGATCGGCTTGGAGCCTCGAGGGAACCGGTAAAAACAATCATAAATGGCGAAAAAAGACGACAGCAAGCAGTGACCTTTGTATTTCTCTTAATTCACGAGCCTCTATCCCCGAAAGGATCGCCGAGTCTTTTCATTTTAATTATTCAGTTCGCCATTCTGAAGGAGTTTGGTTAGAGGTTCTTGGTGAAAAATGGTACAATCAATATGGATTTATAGAGAATTTTTAGTTATCGATTAAAGTGGTAAGTTTATTTAAATTGTTGTCGAGGAAATCATCTTTAAGAAAAGTATACTTTCTACCCCTTAACGTGGAACGTTGCGGTTAAAAGCGCTATCATTGCGCGGATTCCGCGCCCTTTACGGCCAGAAAAATGCGGAATAAAGGGGGAATGCGTGGAAAAAGGTAACGGTAACCTGGGAACCTGTATAACGGTTGCGAATAAGGTCAGCGTTCGTGAGGAATGTCGCACGATAGCCTGTTCGTCTGCATTTTTCATCAGCAGCTGCGCAAAGAGCCGATGGCAAGATATCGTGTTGACGAAGCTCTTGAATCGCTTGAAATCGCTCGGGTCAATTCATCGATAACTACACAATCATAGTCAAGTCTCGAAGTCTATTGAAAACTGCTCAATTTTCTGAGTTTCCTAACCCAAACGCAATCTAGACGAAAGTACTTCCAGTTAATCCTCTTTCTTGAAGTCTAGCAATAAAACTCAAAGTCCACAATCTTAGGGTATGAAACTTAGGTTATGTCCTAACCCTAACCTAATCCAGACCAAAGTCCATCCAGTTAATCCTTTTTCTTGAAGTCTAGCAATAAAACTTGAAGACTACAATCTTGGGATATGTTCTAATTCAAACCTAATCCAAACCAAAGACCATCCAGTTAATCCTCTTTTTTGAAGTCTAGTAATAAAACTCAGAGTCCACAATCTTAGGGTATGTCCTAACCCTAACCTAATCCAGACCAAAGTCCATCCAGTTAATCCTTTTTCTTGAAGTCTAGCAATAAAACTCGAAGACTACAATCTTGGGATATGTTCTAATTCAAACCTAATTCAAACCAAAGACCATACAGTTAATCCTCTTTTTTGAAGTCTAGTAATGAAACTCAAAGTCCACAATCTTAGGGTATGTCCTAACCCTAACCTAATCCAGACCAAAGTCCATCCAGTTAATCCTTTTTCTTGAAGTCTAGCAATAAAATTCGTAGACTACAATACAATCTTAGGGTATGGAACTTAGGTTATGGCCTAACTCAAACCTAATCCAGACCAAAGTCCATCCAGTGAATCCTCTTTCTTGAAATCTAGAAATAAAACTTGAAGACTACAATTTTAGAGTATGGCCTAACTCAAACCTAATCCAGACCAAAGACCATCCAGTGAATCTTCTTTCTTGAAGTCTAGCAATAAAATTCGTAGACTACAATACAATCCTAGGGTATGGAACTTAGGTTATGGCCTAACTCAAACCCAATTCAGGCCAAAGTCCATTCAGTTAATCCTCTTTCTTAAAGTCTACCAGTACAACATGAAGTCTAAAATTCTGTAGTATGAAACGTTTGGTATGTCGATCACCACCCTATCAAAGGGATCAAAGTATCTTGGATCCTCAATTGAAATTTCTTCTCAGTTGAATTTTTAATTATTCCTCAGCCCATTTTTGTGTTTTCACCTAGTCATTCCCAAACTTTCATTCGTCCCTATCGATTAACTAACCCTCGCCTGGCGACCCAACGTATCAATCCGCTATCTGTTCAGTCCGATGCACCCTGTTTCAAGGCTGTCCGCGTTCCAAGACCCTGATCACGAGGTCCTTCCAAGGTGAACTAGCGTTTGACACCTCTAAAAGCACACGTTCTCGCTAACACACACACACACGTGTTAAAATTCGCGGATTCCAATTTCGCCAGTCGTTTCCAAACAAATCTGCCCACGTAACAGCCAGGTCTGACGTCGTTCGGATTGCATAATTCTAGATCGGTGTCACCTAAAAAAACGCAGAAGGACCCACGCTAGCTTGCGACCCGACGAGATGTTTACCCGCTCCGTGGCTTACGTAAAGATCCCAACTCGTGTTTTGTTGATCCGTAGAGGGGAATGGAGGGGGATCGACTTCTCGAAAATGTTTTCATTACCGCTGGAAAGCGTATCGTCACGGAACAGACGGGGAACAGAGGGAGAGAAAGAAGGTCCCAGGTCGGTAATGGCGCGGGATGGACACCGAGCGAGCCCGAAAACCGGTACAGCCTCCGCTCGCATTTCACCGTGGCTTTGGGTATTAAATAATTATTATTTCGAAAGCGAGAGTGTAACCACGGCGCCAGCGTCGGCTACGTCAACACGTACGGCGACCGTGGTCTTTCTCTCCCCCACTCTTTCTCTCTCTGTGTTGCTCCCAGTGATTCGCAAATTCGTTCCCTGTAAGAGTTTTTTTACAATTTGGTTTTTCCGGTTAGCTTTTGACCATAGAGTAGTATCCAAGAGCCCTCTAATTAAACTATCCGAATCTGTATGTTGTAATACAAAAATAGTTATGGCAGTTTATGGATGTTAATGAACAAATCCTGTATCTTTTTATTGAAGGTTAGGAATTATTGCCTTAAACCAATTGTGCTCAGATTTTGGAAATGTGGTCCTAACCCAAGTATGATGGAAGTTAGGAACTGTGGTCTTCAACCCAATTGTAATCAGAGTTAGAAATTGTAGTCTTGACCCAACTGTGATCAAAGTTAGGAATTGTGGTCTTAACCCAACTGTGATCAAAGCTAGAAATTGTGGACTTGACCCAACTGTGATCCAACTTAAGAATTGTGGACTTGACCTGACTGTGTTCAAACTTAGGAACTGTGGTCTTCACCCTATTGTAATCAAAGTTAGGAATTGTGGTTTTGACCCAACTGTGATTCAACTTAGGAATTGTGGTCTTAACCCAACTGTGATCAAACTTAGAAATTTTAGTCTTAACACACTTGTAATCAAAGTTAGGAATTGTGGTCTTAAGCTAACTGTGATCAAACTTAGCAGTTGTGATCTTAACCCAACTGTGATCAAAGTTAGAAATTGTGGACTTGACCCAACTGTGATCCAACTTAGGAATCGTGGACTTGATCCGACTGTGTTCAAACTTAGGAATTGTGGTCTTAACCCAATTGTAATCAAAGTTAGGAATTATGGTTTTGACCCAACTGTGATTCAACTTAGGAATTGTGGTCTTAACCCAACTGTGATCAAACTTAGAAATTTTAGTCTTAACACACTTGTAATCAAAGTTAGGAATTGTGGTCTTAAGCTAACTGTGATCAAACTTAGCAGTTGTGATCTTAACCCAACTGTGATCAAAGTTAGAAATTGTGGACTTGACCCAACTGTGATCCAACTTAGGAATTGTGGACTTGATCCAACTGTGATCCAACTTAGGAATTGTGGACTTGATCCGACTGTGTTCAAACTTAGGAATTGTGGTCTTAACCCAACTGTGATCAAACTTA